ATGTGATTGAGACGCTTTGGAGAATTGGTATCTACTGCGGAGCGAGTATAGTGTTATTGAGTAGACCAAGAGACTAAGGAAGGGGTAACGGTGTGTCTCGAATATCTTGCTTGCTTGACTTGGTTGTACGCCGCCACACATAACGTCATGCCACGGCACGCTGACAGGGGTTGACGACGCGCAAGTGGAGCGTCCATCTTGATCTCGAACCTGGAACCGTTAGCCTGCACTGACGTCGCGGGTAGCCCGTCACTGGTGCTGATAGTCGTGTTTGACGTTTTGGACTTCGATGTTCGCTCGTGTGCCAACTGTGGAAGATGTCGCCTGCTACTGCTACGAAGAAGCCCGTCGTTACCAAATCGCCGGCTGCCAAACCCCCGGTGAAGAAGGCGACGGCTCCAAAGCCAGCCCCAGCGAGCCAATCAGCGTCCAAGCCGCCGGTACCAGCTGCTGTTAAGAGGAAGAAGAAAGATGACCTCGGTGCTGGATTGCGGATCTCGAAAGACAATGTGGAAGCGCATCCGGCTGGACCACCGCGCTTTGGCGAGTTGACACAGGCAGAACGGGCTTTCACGTTAGCCTCGACGTTCTTGTCCGGCGTTCTGGCGTAAGCACGTCCATGTCCACCCCCAGATACACCTAACTAATACCTGACAGTATAAGCGCATCCCAATTCCTAGGCGCACCGCTAAAGTTGATTGACCCGCAATTCTACGATGGGTATATGGCATATACCAAAGAATGCTTCGCCATCCTGATCACCTGTCTAACCCAATGGTGGGCTCCCACTGTCGTTCGTGTATCTGGCGACTCCAGCATGGTCGGCCAACTTATCAAACGCAAAGATGGATCGTTGCAATGCAACTTTGCCGATCGCATGGTCCTCATGGCAAACCATCAACTTTACACTGACTGGCTGTATATATGGTGGATCGCATATACGAACAACATGCACGGCTTCATCTACATCATTCTGAAAGAGTCGCTGAAGAACATTCCTATCATCGGATGGGGCGCCCAGTTCTACAACTTCATCTTTCTATCTAGAAAATGGGAGGAAGACCAGCGCACATTCAAGAAACATCTCAGCAAATTGAACAAGAAGGGAGACCCTATGTGGCTCATCATCTTTCCTGAGGGCACGAATCTGTCCAAGACTACACGGGAAAAGAGCCAGCAATGGGCGAAGAAGAATGGGCTGCAGGACATGAAGCACCAACTGCTTCCACGCAGCACTGGTCTCAAGTTCTGCCTCAACGAATTGAGGGAAACAACAGATTGGCTGTACGACTGTACCATCGCATACGAAGGTGTGCCAGAAGGGCAATTCGGTCAAGATATCTTCACTCTGCGCTCTTCTTTCTTCGAAGGCAGGCCTCCGAAATCAGTGAACATGCACTGGCGACGATTCCACCTCGACGACATCCCATATGAGAACACACACGCTTTTGAAGTCTGGCTAAGAAACCGTTGGAGGGAGAAGGACTACATGCTAGAATACTTCAGTCGCCACAACCGCTTCCCCGCAGAAGATTTCTGGAAGAACCACCTGGACATGGACACCAAGAGCGAGAGCAGCAGAGGCGGAAACAAGACCATCCGAACCGTCCCCCGCCCAGCCGTCCAAATCGAAACCGAAGTCAAAAGTGGTAACTGGAACGAATTCGTCAAGATCTTCGCTCCAATAACCTCCGTCATGATGGCCCTAACCGTAGCCTACGGTGCATCCCCCGAAGACCTACCCATTCCCGGCGCCAAAGAATTCTTCCAAACGCACATGAAAACACTGCTAGGTCAAGACGGCGATATCAAAGGCCTTCCAAGCCCCGAGCAACTAGAAAAGATGATTGAAGGCGCCGCTCAAATGGGCGCAGCGCAAGCCGCAGGGCCAAAAGAAGTACCAGAAGTACAACGGCTTACGCAAGAAAACCTCGCCAAACTAGTCAAAGAAACAGCTATTGCAAGCGGCGCTGTAATGCCCAACGGGATGAGAAGAGCAAGCACAGCATTGCCGCCACCAATGACCAAGACGCTACAAACGCCCACTGCTGCGACACCAGCAGTAAGGCGAGCCCAAAGCGCGGTAAACCTCCCTACATCCTCAGCGAAGAAACCCACACCCACTGCACCTAAACCAGGCACCGCGGCACACGCCCGCGCGAACCCCGCGGCAGCAACCGCAACCAAGAAACCCACTCCTCAACCAACAGGTCCCATGAAAGAAGTAATGACAGCCTCAGGCGTCATGATCAAAGTCCCTCAAACCGAAGTTGAACAAGCCAAGAAAACAGGCACGCTGACCATGGCAAATGGCGTCAAGATCAAGATCGGCAAAGAAGACATCGAAAAAGCGCAGCAGGAGAAGAAGGGGACTACGTTGATGACGGCAGGCGGTGTGCCCATCAAGGTGACGCCTAGCGGTGCTGTGCAAGTGCCTGAAAAGGTGGACAACAAGGGGCAAGCGGCGGCTGTGAAGAAGACGGGGGAGTTGGCGGGGAAGATGGGGGATTTGTCGACGGCGAAGAAGATGGAGGGGAAGAAGGCGCCTGCTAAGATAGGGGGTGCGGGGAATGGGATGGCGAAGAAAGGGACTGCTGCGAATGGGGCGGCGAAGAAACCGGGTGCTGCGGCTCCGAGGAAGCTTTGAGATGGGTGTTATGAGGATATGGGTATAGGTTTTTTTGGGTATGGGTATAGTATAACCGGGGTATTTGTTTGGCGTTGAACTAGTATTTATGACTAGGTTTTGGATAGTTTGTTTGTTTGTATGTAAGATATCGATATGCCATCATTGGATTTGAAGCAGAATAGCCCATCCCGTGCACCGATACACTGTTACTCGAGCCCCCAGTCCCAATCGTCATACCGAAAGAACCCATAACCTCAGACACTGCTCTCACTAACCGCTATACCAAGTCGTCTTCTTGACCTGCGTATCCATCCATTCTGAGCGTTCAAGCAATCGTCCATCGTTCGTCCTTGCGCCACTAAATGAACACAGCGTTAATACCTCAATCCCTCTTTCAATGTGAGGATCAAACAAGACGAAGAATCCAAAATCCAAACAACCATCCAACAAGATTGTGCATCAAATCCTCTTGTACAACAACCCACAAACCCTCGCAGCGGATACCACATCAAAAACACGAAAAAATCCATGTACAACAAACATTACCTCTTCTTCCTCGCAGCCTCCTCCTGCTGTAACTTGTGCATCTTAGCTCGTGCGCTCTTGCTGCCACCCAATTTGGGTCCCGTAATAGGTGGCGGCGCACCCTTGACAGGAGGGGCAGGTGGTTTCCTCGCTTGTTGTTTCGCTTCCATGGATTCGAAGTATTCGTTGCGGAACTGCTCGACGAGGGCGTCATCGGTGTTGGTGGAGGTGTTGGCGTGGGGGTTTGCGGGGGTTGTGGAGTCGAAGAAGTCGACTGGTGGGGATGTTAGTATGGAGGTTGTGGTAGGGGGAAAGGGAGAGAGGGGAAGGGAACGTACGTTTGGCTTCTTTCAGTACAGCTTCGACCATCTGGTCGCGTCGTTTGTCTTCTTCCGTCTTGCCGTTGGCTTTGGGCTTGCGCCACGCGTAGCCGTACTTGTCTCGTCGCGCTTTGCTTGCCGGCGGCTCTGGCTCGCCCTTGTCCCATCGTTTCCAGGCTTGTTCGGTGCGCGCCGCAGCATCAGGGCCCAGGTCTACTTCCTGGAGCTTGCCCTGGCCTGCCGCCAACCGGTTGCTATGTTCGTTATCCGCGGGACTCTCGGTGCTACTGGTCGCGCCTTGTGTCGATAAACTGGTGGCGAAGGTATGTCGCAGATCTGGTGCGATGGCGGCTACGGAAGCCTGGAGGTGGTTTGGTATGGGCCAGCCGTACTGGCGATAGTTCTTTTCAGCCATGCGGGCTTCTACGTATTCCGACCTGGCACATTAGCCTCCATGCTTGACGGTGCCCCCATTCGAGCCTGCTGTAATCTGGCGAAGAGTCCACTCACATCTGCTTGTCATCGCGGTCTACCACTTGTCCCGTCTGCGCGACGAAGCGGCTGGTATACTGGTCTGGCCGGGGCGCTTCTATTTGCACCACCTCTGTCCGCGGCGGCTCTGCTTTGCGCGTAGTTTCCTTCAGTCGGTCGCGGGGCCGCTTTCGGTTGCGCAATATCTCTTTCAGGTTCGGCACCGACTCTTCTTCATCGTTGGCTTCGGTCGGCGAGACAGGCGCGTCGTTGGGAGTCGCAGCAACGGGCGTATGCGAGGCGGAAACAGTAGGCGCATCGTCTTCGGTATAGACGCGCTTCGGGTGCGCGATCTTGCGGCGCTTGAATCGTATAGCGGGGACTGCCTCGTCTTCTTGAGCCGTCGACATGCTGGGCACTTACGGGAGAGTCGGGAGTGAAGCGTGGGTTGGAGAGGTAGAGTTTCGGAGGACGACCTGGGCCGAGGCGTGAACCACGCAAGGGTCCAAAGCGTCATAAGCCCTTTCACTCTTACCTAGACTTCATGACGGAGGCTAAACGGTTCGCATAACTAGAGCATGATCTACGTACATCTGGATTTAGACGCGATCTGGGGTTGCAGGAGCGCAATAAGACTGCGGTACCCTTTTATGCATGCATCATCTGACGACGATTAACAGACGTAGAGCACCTACATGGCGTGACACTCAGCTCATAGGACGACCACGTAGCCGACTTCCGCTGTTGCGTACTACAATTCAGATAGGTCTAACTCCACCCTCCTCAGCAGTTGCCTCTGCCGTTACTTCATAACGCATCACACAACAACTCAACCCCATGGCTTCGCATTAAGAATTTTGTTCATTGCGATAAAACATATGTACTCTCAGCCTACTATACAGGAAGCCAGCCGCCGTAACGCTCAAACGCCCAAGTCATACCCGGTACATTGAGTAGCGAAAGACTGAATGCAGGTAACATCAGGAAACTTCCCTTTCCAACCATCCTTCTCATCCCCTTGGTATCAATTTACATCATCATTGTCATCGTCCTTCCTAAGCCGTCGCTGAGGAAACAGTCTCAATCTCCACCTTTGGCAGCGGCGCCGACTTGCCGCCAAGGTCTGTTTGCCGTGCGTTGGGGTTCTTGGTGTAGTAGTTGGAGATGGCGGATTTGATGGCGTCTTCAGCAAGCATAGAGCAATGCACTGCGAGCAGTTAGTAATCTGGTCCTGGTTCTCGCTTTCGTATTGTGGGATACTCACGCTTTACAGGTGGTAGGCAAAGCTCCTTTGCAATCTCTGTGTTCTTGATCCTCGACGCATCCTCCAGTGTCATGCCCCGGACCAATTCCGTCAGGTAACTCGAACTCGCAATCGCGCTACCGCAGCCGAAGGTCTTGAACTTGACATCGCTAATGGTGTTGCTGTTAGGGTCGACACGGATCTGGAGCTTCATGACGTCGCCACATGCGGGTGCGCCGACTAGTCCAGTACCGACGTCGTTGTCCGTCTTGGACATGGATCCGACATTGCGAGGCTTGTTGTAGTGGTCGAGCAGTGCTGCGAATGTTAGCTGAGCGTTCTCAGATATAATTAGTCGGAGATGGTGGTGCGATGACGAGGTGATTCCGATCGGACTCCCGTGTCGCCACCACATCGGTTTTCCGAACGAGAGGAAAGAGCGACTTATCTTTCTCGTGGTACTGCCGCCGACCGACTGCTGCGACTGCGGGTGCTGTTGTGCGAATGGGCGAAACGATGCTGGGCCTGGCGGCGGTTGCGAGCACTCTTCCTGCCTGAGCGGGCACTGCTGCTGCGACTCTCCTGAACATGGTGGCGATCGATGTGTGTGGTGTCTTGAGGTTCGGTAGTATCTTTGGTGAGTTTTGGCAATAGTTCGGGTAGCGGTTGGATGTTGGTGTAGGTGTAGCGGAGGTGGATGGCGACGGACAATTGAAGTAATGATGAAAAGCCACGCCCGGCCGCCGGCGACGTAATGTCCGTGCGCACACATACCCCACACTTATCATGGAATCATCTCGGAGAACCGCTCCAGATCACCGGCGAACGAGTGCTATCTCCGTTCGTCCTGCTATCAGATGGAACTTCAGCTCCATTCATATCGCCTACAGCCATGCTGATGCTATCTAGCAGCTTGCGCCGCAATGCTCCCAATCCGCTCTCGTTTCGCCGTTTCATCAATGCTAATGCTAACCCGACACAACTCCGCTTTCGCTATGCTAGTCCGTGGTGAGGGACCTAGACCCGCTGTCTTACAAACGTCGGAAGAAATACACGTAGGCAAACTTCTTCATCTCTTCAATGTCCGCCGCCTTGGCCACCTTCTCGTCATTGAAAAGAACCCATGACGCAGCCTGCTCGCCTGGCAACTGCTTGCGCACAAACGCAACGTAGTGTCTATGGCATGTTAGCGAATCCTCTACCGTAATAGTCCAAATGCGGAAAACATACCCGGCGTGTATCGAACTACCCTTATGGCATACTATCGACTGGAGCTGGAAGTTTGCAGGCAGCGTCTCACTACCGGCCAACTTCTTCTCTGTTTGCTCCGCAGGTGCCTCGGAGCTACCGCCTTCGTCGAAATCGCCCGGTGCATCGGGGTGGCTGAACAGCCAGTCGACAGCGCGCTCCATGTCACCACCCGTTTCCTTCAGAGCCTGGCGTGCCTGTGGAGCGTTGAAGCCCATAGCTCCTAGGTTCTCGATTTTTTCAGGGTCGAGAACAGATGCAGCGGCTGCGCCTCCACCAGAACCAGCGTTGAAGTCGACGGGGTCGTCGATATCTGGATCCTCCATATGTCCAATCAGCCAGTTCATCGCTGCTTCGGCATCTTCGTTACCAGTGGCATGTAGAGCCTTTTCACATCGAACTCTAGGGAATCCCATAGCCTCAAGCATCGAAAGTGCCGCCTCGTTGGGTGACCACTTCGAACTGCCCGACGCTCCTGTGTCTACATCTTCTGGGAGAAGCTCCTCTCCTTCTGCCAAACCATTTGACTTGTAGGCATCGAAGGAGAAAGGTTCATCGTTGACAATGACAGGAACATCCTGCTTGGTAGGCACCCAGTTGACCAGTTCAAATCGCCTAGCGTTGACGGCCAACACTGTAGGGAAGGTCTTGAACATGCTCCGCTTTGTGAAGCCATCCTTGCTGCCACATGCCCCGCAAGTAAGCTCAACTAATTCCTCGGCTGTGAAGATGTCAAGACACTCCTTCAGCGTGACTGGCTCGAACTCTTCCTTTTCTTCCTTCTTGCCGTCGCTGTTGGTGACGTCCATCTGTGAGTCTTTCGGTATCCGTCGGATGGGGACCGGGATGGAAATGTTCTCCTGCTCGTCTGTCTTGTAACGAACGCGCTTGCAACTGACACACTGTAGCCGCTGTTCCATAGCAAAGCGGAAAGCACCGACCGGATCCTTATGGGGCTCAACGTGCTTGCTACGTGAAACAAGTTGGAGTACGTGTAGGAGCAGTTCGAACGCGTCCTGTTGTCGCATAGTTGAGAACTCGGCGTGGCCTCGTCCGATCAGGTGCTTGAGCATGGCAGGCGCGAGGCCGCGCTGGTGTGGAACCTCTGGGTTGTGCTCATTGGTGATGACGTCGCTATCTGGCTTCGAGTATCGACCAGAGATCATGCCGTCTGCGATTTTGCGCATCTGAGTTTCCAAGTCCTCTGCAGGGAGTGGCGCCTCTGGCGGAGCTTCGTTGGGAAGGTAGTAACGGTCTTTGAACTCTGGAATGGAGAACAAGGCCTGCAGGGTGCTGTTCAGGTAGCAGCTGTTGCCCAGGTTCTTCAATCCTGTGAAGTCTGGCCCGAACAATGGCTGCAGTTCCTTGCCGTCTTCGGTGACCATAGCAAAGTCCCAGCGCAAGTTCTGCTCGACCTGCATTTCGGTAAGACTCTTCTCAGTCTTCACCCTGTCCTTGATGTTGATGCCCCAGTGTGCTAGGTGGTCCGGTAATTCTGGATCGATGCGCTCTTCGTCACAGGCGTAGCAGTAGATATCAGCCGTGCCATCCGCGGTGAGAGATCCGAGCTTGACCGCGACTGGATGGCCAGTCGACTTGGTGTGCCCTACACCGTGTGAGTTGCCACCAACGCCACCGAACTGCTGACGACCACAGCCCAGATTGCCGCAGGTCAAGCAAAGCCAGAGGTTTTCGTTAAGCTCGCACTCCGAGCAGTGTCCCAGGTTCTGCGACTCGATCTGTCGCGCCGCTTGTTGTTCCAGACAGAGGGTATGTTCGCAAGCAGTCAACTCCTGTTCCCACGCCTTGACCTCCTGCTGCTTCGCGAACGTGTTCGCCTTGAGAACTGCGTCCACAATGTTGGGCAACTTCCCCGAGCTCTTATCTACATCGTCAACGCCGCACTCGTAGCACTTGACTTGCGTTGTGGTATCGTAGCGGTCTGCTTCGGTCTCAGCTGCCACGGCAAGCTTGGTCATCTTCTGAGGAGGCTCATCGCGCTTGACCCTTTTTCGCGTGCGCTTGATATTGAGGACGAGGGGGTGGTTCGTGAACGACACGTGGAGGAGAGAGTGGTTGCGATCGCTCGTACACCCACCATTGAAGCAGTAGAGGCACACGTCGAGGCCGGTGGGGTCGTCGATCGAGTCGAAGCACTGGGTGCAGTCCTCCCGGTACACAGACTGCGTTGGCCCTGGTGGATGGAGCTCTGAGACGTGTTAGTACTGTCTAGGGTGAGGATGTAGCCATAGAGCAAATGAAGGCGCCTGAAGCATGTTTGCCACTCTTCATTTCTTTTGCTGTATGAGAATGGAGTCGGGGGAAAGATTTGGTACTTACCGGGCGCGTTTACGTGCGTACAGGCCATGTTTGGTCAAAGTTGATGTGGGCGAGGTACGGTGTAGAAAGTCGCGACGGTTTGCACGTAAATTCGGTTGTTATGACATAGGCTAGGCTTCTAGAGCTCCTCCCCGCGGCGGGGCAAACAAAAGTGGATACCTGCCACCACTACCGAAAGAAAGGTAGTCACCACGCGACAGCTCCACTCTAGCTCAGAAGTCACGTCTGAGTTCAAACAAGTTGGAAAATTGTTTTAACATTCCTTTGACTTGATTTCATGGAGGGGATGCTAAATTTGAAGGAGTCTCAACAGTTTTATAGATCGAGACTTATACAAGATGTACTATTAAAACTACACGCCTGTACTCATACATTATCACCTATTTCCCCTGCTGCCGTGCGTTGACAGACCAGTTCTGGAACTGAGTAAACAGCACAGGCTGTAGAGGAGACTTCTTGTCCGCAAACCACTGCTTCTGCGTCTCAGCATAAACGTCCACCACACCAGCATAGTTTCCTTTGTCGAGACCAACAAGGACCTTGACGACATGGAGACTGGCGGAACCACATGCATCTGCATGGACTTTTGAGCCGTTGCCTAGCTTCGCCTCCTCGTGAATACCCTTCAGCAGCTCCCATACATCTTCGACGTTCTCTGGCTTCGGGAGAGGTGCTTTGCGCTTCGTGCGGGTGTCGAAGAACGACTTTAGCATCTTGGCCGCTTTGTCTGCCGTCTGCTTGTTTGCGTTTGCTCGGGTGCGACGGAGTACTGGGAGGAGGATTTCCAGAGTGAGGGCGTTGGAGTATTGCTTCTCCATGTACACGGCAAGTAGATCCAGGACCCTTGACTTGAACTGTACGACATTCTGCTTTGCGTCCGTTCGCTCCTTCTTCTTGCTGGTTGTCTTGCTGCGCTCCTTGAAAATCTTGCTGAGATGTGGATCAAGCGCCATCATCTGGTCGTCATCCATGTCTGACTCGTCGGATGTTTCTTCTGCCGCCTCTCCGTCGATGGTCGGCTTCGAGGTCTGGAGGGTCATAGCGAGCATGTTGTCGAACTGAGTCAGCTCTGCGTCTTCCTCCTCACTTTCGTCGCTATCGTCATCATCAGAGCCTGACTCAGAAGCCTCGTCGCTGTCTGCTTCCTCCCCATCAACCATCTCAACGTCTGAGTCGTCTTCATCCTCATCGCTTGAGCCTTCCTCCTCCGCGTCTTCATCGCCCTGATTGAACAATTCTTTCTGTCCTTCAAGGTTCTCTTCGGTCTCCAGGATCTCAGTCAGTGAGCGCAACCCTTCGGCACTGATCTCGGATGCGAATATAGAGAAAGCTTCTTCACCGATTCGTCGGAACAACGTTCGTTCATTTCCTGAGAAAGAGAGTACGATCTCGACGAAAGCATTCTGGCCGTCGGAAGTTGAAGCCTTGCTCTTCTTCTTCGATGACGCCTTTCGTGACGCTTCGAAGGCTTTGTAGGAAGCATCGAGGTCATCGAGCATCATGACGGCATCGCCCTCGCCATTGTAGGCTTGCAAGAGAGTTAGAGAGTATAGAAGCAGGAAGCCCTGTGCTGCCATCTCATTGCCAGCTATTGATCCCTGGTGGCACTGCGTTAGTCAAGCGTAAAACAACAGGAGATAGTATACATACTGTCGCAGAGATGGCGTCAATGGTGCTAAGCGCCTTCTCCATGGTACTCAGAACCGATTCATCTGCTTTGAAAGCAAGATCCAGTTTTGCAGACTTGCCATTCCTCGCTCTTATCATATCCAATACCATGAGGGCAACATCTGACCGAGCGCCCAACTTTACGTCCAACAGCTTAGTTAAACAAGATGATAATCGCTCTTGAAACGTTGTACGGCTGCGATCACTGATTGGAGGAAGAGGCATTTTCTTCGTATCCGCCTTCTTTGAGGGAACGAAATAAGCGCACTCCACCAGTGTCTCCAAGATCTCCCGCAGCCAGTTGGACTTTCGGTCTTCTGCAGCGCCACCTTCGCGTAGGTGAGCGATGTCCTTCTTGAAGGTCTTTTCGTTGAACCTCTCGTATCGCTTGTACTGTCTGATCGTGTTCAGGAGCAGGTCTGCGATGGCCTGGCGACGGCTGTCTGCAACGTTCTGTTCTTCGCTTTCAGGACGCAGGATCAACGACTTGAGGTGGCGCATAATCTTCATCAAACTCTTATCATCTGCAGACGCGAGAATCTGCTCCAGCGTTTTGGTCCTGGTGATCCGGTCAAACTCGACGCTACCGTGTTTTGAGGTCAATGCGACGAAGATGGGAAGTGCTGTTCCATCTTCTT